ACAGACAGACAGACAGACAGACAGACAGACAGACAGACAGACAGACAGACAGACACAGCAGCAGCGGATGAGGCTAGATTTTAAAAAAGCCGGGGAGGTGGTGGAGTGGAAGGAGAGGGCGGGGGTGGCTGGCATAAGATAAATCAAGTCGTTACCTGGACATGCCGTCTGTAATGAGCACGGTCATCTTCGGGACGCCTGTCCTGGTCTTGGAGGGACCCAGACCCTCCTGCATCATGCCTTGTAGCGCCCTGCAGTCAAGAAGTTGGTAAAATAGAATAATTATTTTTCAAAGGTCTCAAAAGACGTGTCGGTTGGAAAGCCGCTTGCTCAATTTTAGCCGGGCCGGGTCGTGACTCGTGAGCCATGGACCAAGCCGGAGCTAAAAAAAATTTCTAATTTTGAGTTTGGATTAAAATTCTAATGTCATATTCGTAATCAGCCTGTAGTACATGTTGCAATAGATTAGCGACTAGGTCAGATTTTGTAAGATTATCGTAACAATATCGACTACAAAAAAAAAGAAAGTAAAAAGGTTCAGCAAGTGTCCTGAGAACTGCATTGCTTGTTTTTTGTCTCTTTCTAATCATTTTCATTAATAACTATCCGTAGTTGTTGATTGGGGGTGCTCTGATGTGGTTTGCTCTTTCTTTCCTATCAAACATCTATCTCTCCTTCTTTTTTTTTTGTATTTGTTACTCTCTTGCAACACCGTAGGCGGTTGGCGGGTGCTCTAGTGTGGCTTATTCCTTCTTTCCCATCAAACATCTATTGTCCTTATCTCTCCTCTTCCTTTTTTGTGTTTATTACTATCTTGCAACACCTCTAATCTTTTGCACTCGTATGACCTTAATGTGTTGCTAGTGCCGTATAACTCTTATTAAAATATCTTGCAACACCTCTAATCTTCGGCATTTATATGACCTAATTGTGTTGCAAGTGCCGCAAAAAAAACCTATCAAACATCTATCGTCCGTATCTCCCCTTCTTCTTTTATATGTTTGTTACTCTCTTGTAACACCTCTAATCTTCTGGCGCTCATAGAACCTCATGCAGTTGCGAGCGCCGTAAACCTCTCCTAAAACTTTTTTTTTTAAACGCTTACTAAAACTAAAACACTATTTGTACCTGGAAATATAAGTGTTTCCGCGAATACAAGGCGCCTCCATGATGGCTCCCTGCAGTGCGGACTTGGACCTGTGGTCGTCTATGGGAATGTACAAAGTGTGTTGCTCTGAGAAGATGCCCACGCCCACTCGAGTGGCCTCGGGTCGGATGTCCATGTCCTCGACCAGACTGGCCACGAACTTGAGCAGCTTGTTGTAGTCCACGATCCACACACTGTACGAGGTGTCCAGCAGGAAGTAAATCTCCGCCTTCTTGTTGGTCCAGTCTGTGGAAGAAATTGAATGTGCCGTGAATGTATACGTGCGTGTGTGTGTGTGTGTGTGAGTGTGTGTGTGTGTGTGTG